GGAGGAGAGAAACAAGAAGAAGAAAAGAAAGAGAGAAAGAAAGAGAGAAGGGAAGGAAATAAAAAATATATGTATTTTATAATTTTGGATTGATTTGACGATTATATCCTCAGATTTAACAATTTTTTTGACAAAAGGACTATTTAAGAGCACCTATATTAACGTTAGGGACCATGAGTGATACAAATTTTTTTTAAGGATGCAATCTGATAGTTTCGCAAACGTCACGGACGTTTTGTGATAAAAAGCCATACAACTTTGTATGAGAGGCTGATGAGATGAGATAATAGTTTTTGTTTTGTTTCTTTTACAAGTTTTAATAATTTATTAATATTTATAATTGAGCTAATAAAAATACTCTTGAAAATGCATTCATGTGTCCAATTATTTTGCCAATAATAATATTCTTGAAAAAGTGAGTTAAATTAAAATTCAGGACACAAGTAAAAATTAAAAGAGAAGAAGCGATATTTTTCTTAAATGGGAGGACCCAGGATCACATTTCTTTCTTTTTCTTCTTTTTCTTAGGATGTGACAACTGAACCAAAAGAACACCAAATCTCTATGAGTTTCCACAACAAACTCAAATGCTGGGATCTCTGGACATCAAAAAATTATTGAAGCAGATTTGAGTTGTATCCATTTTGGCCTTAACTGAACATCCAGTTTTGCATGCAATGTAAATGTAATTGAAATATAAATTTAGGAGAATATGTTAAATAAGTTTCATTTTTAGTTTGAAGAAAACGAGTTCGAAAATCCCACCTGCAGAGGCAAAGGCAATGGTCTGATCACCAAATAGAGACAATGGTTTGCAGTGAGGTCCATGGCTGCACAAAAAATAAAAATAAGACAAAAAACAAAAAAAAATTTGCTCACTATAGCAAAGATAAAGTTCAATTTAAGAAACCCACCACATAAGTCAAGAACTAGATTTTGAGTTGATGGGATTTGAAGAAAATGATACGAGATCCCCAATTTCGGAGGAGTGAGTTTATTGCATTTTTTTTCTTTTCCAAGTTTTATTCATGAGTTAATATTTGTGATTTCTAATAAATATACTCTTAAAAATGATAAGTATAGTAATATGATGGGACTATTCCATTCCCAATTTTTTTTTTTCAAAGCCACTTAAACTACAACTCGCCAATGCGTGCATGTGTGTGAGAAACCCCCCTCCTCCTTATAGTTTAGACTATTTGTAAGAGTTTGAATTCAAGTTGTATTCCTTTGTGTAAATATTACAATATTTATAATTGCACAATAAAGATATAAACGGTAAAAGCCTTGAATGGCAGTAAATACAAAATATTTGGAGAGCAAGTCACCTATTGTGATTAAGAAGAATCCGTTTCAGATTCTTCTTCCTTGATGAGTGCGTGTGGTTTAACACCCCCCCGCAAATTGAGCTGCCTTGGACGAACAAGTTTGGAACATAAGAGATGGTGTTGTGGCTTGTGAAGTGGCTTAGTGAGAAGATTCGCAGGTTGATCAACATAGGGGATGAAGCAGACTTGATGACTCCCGAGGGCCACCTTCTCGCGAATAAAGTGGTAGTTAAGTTCAATGTGACGAGTACGAGCATGGAATACCAAGTTTGCTGCCATATAATTGTGCTGAGATTGTCACAATGCATGAGAACCAGAAAAGGCAGACGAACGCCCAGTTCATGTAACAGAGAATAGAGCCAAGAAGATTCGGCGCAAGCATGAGCAAGAGAATAGTACTCAGATTCCGCATTGGAGCGCGAAACTGTTGGCTGCTTTTTGGAGCACCAGGAAATAAGATTGGAGCTCAAGTAGATGAGGTAGCCAGTCGTCGAACGGCGGGAGTCTGGGCACCTAGCCCAATCGGCATTTGAGTAAACGGTGAGATGAGTGGAAGGACCTTGGGGTGTAAAATGGAGGCCAAAGTCAATGGTGCCCTTAACATAGCGGAGAATCCTTTTGACGGCAACCATGTGAGGAGAGCGAGGAGAGCTCATAAACTGGGCCACAGTGTTGACGGCAAAGGAAATATCTGGGCGGGTAAGGGTGAGGTACTGAAGACTCCCCACAAGTTCACGGTATTTTGTGGGAGAAGCGAGCAAGTCACCATCACTGGCAGTTAGAACAGACTTGGCTGCAAGATGAGTGGAAGCGGGCTTGGCATGTAGGAGATTACTCTTGTGTAACAAATCATGAACATACTTAAGTTGATTGAGATGAAGGGCACCATCATGAGAGACAACCTGTAAACCTAAGAAGTAACTAAGAGGACCAAGGTCCTTGATGTCAAATTGGCGGCTTAAAGGAGATATAAAAATATGTAAAAGAGAGGAATCACTGCCAGTAATCACAATGTCGTCAACATACAGGAGGAGAAAGATGGTGCGGGATCCCTGTTGAAAGATAAAAAGTACGTGAAGAGTCTGCCAAACTTCTTGAAAAACCAAGGGATAAGAGGAAGGTGATGATACGATTAAACCATGCACGCGGAGCCTGTTTGAGGCCATAAAGAGACTTGTGAAGTTTACAGACATGAGTGGGATGAGCAGGGTTCACAAAACCAGGAGGCTGAACCATATATACGTCTTCTTGAAGGAAGGCATTCTTGACATCAAGTTGCCGCAAGGACCACCAGCGAGAAACCACAAGACTAAGAACAGTGCAAATTATGGTTGGTTTGACAACAGGGCTGAAGGTCTCAAAGTAGTCAATGCCAGGTAGGGTTGGTTTTACACAAATTATGACAAGTTTTTAACCCTTAGATTAATGCTTTAGATTAACCAAATTAGTGGATCAGTTTTAAATAATTATATTAGTTTTTCCTCCTTATTTCTCTCTCCTCAATAATGTTTTTAACGTCTCCCTGTTTTCTAGTGTCGCTCACCTAAGGACTTAAAAATGAGGTCATGTAAGGTCCTTTTTAAGAAAAACCATTGGATGAATCCAACAGCACATATAATTACTAGTTTAAACCCTCATTCATGCTCCTTGTTTCACCCAAACAATTCTTTTAATTATTATAACCAGCGAAAACAAATAAAACTAAAAACAAAGAAAGTAGGGTTACATGTTGTCTTCATCCCAGCCACCATCTACCCCCTCATCCCCTTTCTCTCTTCCTCTTCCTCGTTCTTCCCCCTCAGTCATCTTCATCCCCTCATCTTCTCCGTAGTACATGAAATTAAAGGATGAGTGTTAAAATCATTCGCCTTTATAAAGCAAGGAAAGTTTAATCTCATTGGGACATTACCGTTAGATTTACAATTATGCTATAACATTCCCATACCTTCCTCACGAGTCACATTCTAATCCAGTTTTCGTTTTCAAACAACATTGATTGAAAAACTCAACCCATATGTAAGATCGAATTACAAATATACTTAAATTTCCACACCTTTTCACTCTATAATTTAATTTAATTTTTGTCTCCTCATCCTTTACTTCATATACTATGGAGAAGATGAGGGGATGAAGATGACCAAGGGTGATAGGTGCTGGTTTAGTTGTATTCATGTCATTGGCCCATTTGGCAAGAGAAGTGGCCACGTGACAGCCTTCTCACCTGTCAATTGTTATTCCGTTGCGGGGTTGTTAGGCCAGTTTGTTAATCAGTTTTGACTTGTTAGATTAGTAGCGGTTTAGGCGCGAATATTAGTTTATAAGGCTTTTAGTTGAATACCAGCTGAACATTCCAAGTCAACAAAGTCAACTATTGAAGGGTCTACGCTCCGTTTCTCTCTTTAGTTTGAGAGTCCTTGGCTCTGTAACTCTGCCCGTTTAACCTTGCATGCGGCATTGTTTTAAGCATTCATAGACCAAACTTGCCTTTCTAAATGTTATAACTTTTTAGGTATACAGTTCTGTTCATGTTCATTGCTCTGCAATGCGTAAAGATCTAGGAATATTTGTTCAGTGAGGCTTCTTTTTAAGTTTCTCACACCTGAACCAGACCAATATAAGTTGTGAAGCACTTTTGTTTACTTAAATAATAAAAAAGAGTCTTGGACATTGCCAAAGTCTTGCACACTTGATTGTGAGTACTCTTGTCACAGTGTTTTCATTTTTCATTTATATATCCAACAATAAATGCGTATAGGAAAGGTAACATTTTTGAGCTTCTATCGACCTTCTGGCAAACTAATGGTTACTGCGTTATTGGAAATAATGGGAGTTGTTTGAGGAGAAGAACTAACGGCAACGGAATTCCTATGTGTTGAAAAAGCAGGTTCTTTGGAGGGTGGAAGAGATGTAGCTTCATTGGCCAGCATAAGAATTACAGAAGACATTGTTGGCCGATCAGCTGGATCTTCTTGAACACACAAAAATCCTACCTGTATACACTTCAAAGCTTCATCAGGCTGGCATGTTTCCCTCACTGATGCATCGATAACCTCCATTCCTCTACCTTCTCTCCATAATTCCCATGCCTAATTAAGATTCAACATGTAATCCCATTAGTCTTGCATGACTGTTCACATACTTATATTATTTCACGTTTATAGTTCATTATGAATTTAACAGGCTTAGGATACATTAGAATTTTTAATACTCACCCATCCAGCAAGAGTTAGTGAATGCTCAAAGCGATGAAAAGCAGCATTCTTCTTTCCACTAACAATCTCCAGCAGCAACACTCCAAAACTAAACACATCCAGTTTCTCAGAGAAATGGCCATATCTTGCATACTCAGGTGACATGTAGCCGCTGCATAAATTGACGGTAGAGAAGTAAGCAAAAGCAATGATTGCAGAAGATTTCAATGATTGAAAACATGTGCCATATATATATACTTACTATGTGCCAACAACTCTGTTAGTATTTGCTTCAGTTTGATTTAT